GAAAAGTCAAATATGATCATATCAGTTGTGCAAATAAAGCACTTACCAAAATCCAACACACCCATGCATGATAAAAATTCCCAGCAAACTAGGAATAAAGGGAAACATCCTCAATTTGATAAGGAGAATCTATAAAAATCCTACAGCTGACATCATACTCAATAGTAAGAAGCTCAAAGCTTTTTCCCTAAGATTAGGAATAAGTCAGAGATGTTCCTGCCTCAGAACTCTTTTCAATATTGTACTGGAACTCCTAATTAATGCAGTAAGGGGGAAAAAAGGAAGAAGAGTATAGATCGAGAAATAATAAAACTGCCTTTCTCAGTAGATGACATGAATATCTATGCAGAAAATCCAAAAAATCAAGAAAAATACTCCTGGAACAAATAAGTGATTATTGCAAGGTTGTAGGGCACGAGGTTAATACACAAAAGTCAATCACTTTCCTATTTACCAGCAATTAAAAAGTAGGATTTGAAATTAAGAACACATTACCATTTACACTAACACCCCCAAATGAAATACTTAGGCATAAATTTAACAAAAGATGGACAAGATTATATGAGGAAAACTACAAAACTCTGATGAACAAAATGAAAGAACTAAATAATGTGGATATATTTCATATTTATGGATGGGGAGTCTCAATATTGTCAAGATGTCAGTTCTTCCCAACTTGATCTATAGATTCAGTGCAATCTCAATGAAAATCCCAACAAGTTATTTTGTGGATATCAACAAACTGAATCTAAAGTTTATATGAATAGACAAAGATACAGAATAGCCATCACAATATTGAAGGACAGTTAGAGGACTTCATCCTACCTGACTTCAAGACTTACTCTAAAGCTACAATAATCAAGACAGTGTGATATTGGGAAAAGAATAACAAATAGATCAATGGAACAGAATAGACCGCCCAGAAACAGACTCTATAAATATAGTCAACTGATCTTTTACAAAAGAGCAAAGACAATATAATGAAGAAAAGTGTTTTCAATAACTGGTGTTGAACAACTAGATGTCTATGTGCCAAAAATGGATCTAGATCTAGACCTTACACCTTTCATAAAAATTAACTCAAAATCACACATCTAAATGAAAAATGCAAAACTATAAAACTCCTAGAGGGTAACACAGGAGAAAATGTAGATGACCTATGATATGCTGATGACTTTAGATATAACATCAAAGGCAAGGCCCATGAAAGAAATAATTAATAAGTTGGACTTCATTAAAATTAAAATGTATGCTCTGAAAAATGCACTGTCAAGAGAATGAGAAGATAATCCAGAGTGAGAAAAAAATATTTGCAAAATACATACCTGACAAAAGGACTGTTATTTGAAATATACAAAGAACTCTTAAAAGTCAACAAGATGAACAATTGAATTAAAAAGCAGGCAATGAAGAGACACCACAGCAAAGAAGATTTATAGATGGCAAATAAGCATATGAAAGCATGTTCATCATCATTGTATGTCATTTTCTAATGACATTTAATTGCAAATTAAAACACCACTGCAGGGGCGCCTGGGTGGCGCAGTCAGTTGAGCGTCCGACTTCAGCCAGGTCACGATCTCGCGGTCCGTGAGTTCGAGCCCCGCGTCAGGCTCTGGGCTGATGGCTCAGAGCCTGGAGCCTGTTTCCGATTCTGTGTCTCCCTCTCTCTCTGCCCCTCCCCCGTTCATGCTCTGTCTCTCTCTATCCCAAAAATAAATAAACGTTGAAAAAAATAAATAAATAAATAAATAAATAAATAAATAAATAAAACCCCACTGCAGACCTATTAAAATGGCCAAAATCCAGAACACTGACAACACCAAATTCTGGCAAGTATGTGGAGCAACAGGAACTGTCATTCATTTCTGGTAGGAATGTAAAAATGATGCAGCCACTTTGGAAGACAGTTTGGCAGTTTCTTATAAAACTAAACATACCCTTACCATATGATTCAGCAATTGTGTTCCTTGGTAGTTACCCAAATGAGCTGAAAACTTATGTGCACAAAAAAACCTATGTTGCATGTTTATGGCAGCTTTATTCATAATTGTCAAAACCTAGAAACAACCAAGATGTCCTTCCGTTGGTGAACGGATACATAAACTGTATTACATACAAACAATGGACTATTTTCAGTGCTAAAGAATCTACAGACATGGAGAAATGTAAACACATATTACTAAGTAAAAGAAGTCAATCTGAAAAGGCTACATACTGTATGACTCCAACTATATGATGTTCTGGAGGCTAAAAAGATCAGTGGTTGTGAGGTGTTGGCAGAGGGGTAGGAGTGGGGGAGAAATGAACATGTGGAACACAAAATTTTTAGGCCAGTGAAACAATTCTGTATGATACTACAATGGTGAATACACATCATCATACATTCGTCAAAACCTGTAGAATGTACAACACAAAGAGTGAACCTTAATGTAAACTCTGAATTTTGGGTGATAATGATATGTCAGTGTTGGTTCATGTTTCTCTGGGGCCAGAAGTTGATAGTGGAAGATACTGTATGGGTATAGGGCGGGGGCTTATGGGAACTCTGTACTTACTGCTTAATTTTTCTGGGAACCCGAAATTTTGCTGCTCTAAAAAATAAAGTTTATTTAAAACAAAACAAAACAATTCTAGGAAAAAAAAAGGTAGATATAGGAACATCCACTCTAAGATGTAAAGCATGTAAGAAAATATTAATCCTACAAATAACACAAAATCTTAAAGCTAAATTATAAAGAGACCATATGGATAATACCCTACTCATTTTAAAAATACAATTATAATGAATGTTCCTACATAAGAAAAATCTTTCTATACTCAGAAAAAGAATCACTTACTTGGAGTAATAGTTAATATAACAAAAAACAGGGGAACTGAATTATGTGGACAGGACTTTGAAATCTCTTACAGTATGAGCAGGTCTGTATTTTTTACATATCATTTACTGACCCGGCAGATTTCAACACTGAAAGAGTTGCACCAAACATAATAGTGTGTCAATGTCTGCAGTGTAGGGAGAATTCAGGCCAAGAAATTAGGAGTCATTATTTCTGGGTTGGAAAAATAAATTTTGGGGCGAAGAAATTCTCAAAGTTGTTGGGATGAAATAAGTTGTTTGCCTCTAAACTACTCACCTTTTGTAAAATATCTGAATAATGGCTATTTATGTCTCAAAACCACTTTTGAACAAAGTAAGAAGCTGGATACGTATGAGAATTCACCCTAGAACCTAAGCAAGGACTATATTGTCTCTTTTGGAGATAGTAAAGAGTGAGTCTGAAGTGAGCGAGCCTCTTATGGCAAAGACTGAATTCCTGCAAGTCTCTTCATGTCCCCCATCTACAAATGTAGATGACTTAGGTTGCTAATGACTTCAGATAGAACATCAAAAGCAAGGGACACAAAAGAAATAATTAGTAAGTTGGACTTCATTAAAATTAAAATTTCTGCTCTGCAAAATACACTGTCAAGAGAATCAGAAGATAATCCAGAGTGAGAGAAATATTTGCAAAATACATATCTGACAAAGGGCTGTTATCTGAAATACACAAAGAACTCTTAAAACTCAACAATAAGATGAACAAAATGAAAGTCTCTAGGCATGGATTCTCTACATTCAGACTGAATTACATCAATTTCTGCATGCAAAAATCATCAATCTTTCAGCAAAAAAATGGTCTGCTACAAAACCAATGAGAAATAACCCCTCTCCATAGACTCTGGACAAGTAAGAATGCCAAAGGACCCAGAGGTTAATACTCCGGCACACACAACAATGACAAAGACACAGTTCCATATTTATTGAAAGAGTGTATCCATTGCTAGTGTGAAATGGCTGTAATATAATTTTAAAAAATAACTGACTATATTAGTTTACAGTATTTATATTAAAAAACCCTAAAACCCTAAATATTTCAAAGTTTATTTTGGTTACACAAGAAAAATGTATAATCCATGAAAAGAATAAAATTGCATTTGTGACAATACAGTGAGTTCAACCTTTACTGCTAATAAACAGAGACATTATATTTTCAGCACAAGGAATAAAAATCACATTCATGGTAATAAATGTCCCTTTTCCCAGTTTCAGAGTAAACCAGAGTAATGTGCTTGTCATTCTTTTCCACTGTTTTTAAATCTACTTATTTCCTTTAAAATCTAAACCTAGATAGCTGCGTTAATATTTAAATTTTTCTTAAATAAAATATTTTCACCTATAAGTTTTTTAAAATATATATTAAGCTTCTCCAAGGGAGGAAAAAAATACCACTCTTACTTTCAAATTCAGTCAGCACTGAAGGCCAGATCCTTCCATAATCTTTAGAACTTAAGGTGATAATTATTATCGCTAAGCAGCAAAATTTAAAAACATATTTAAATTTATTGAAAATCATGATTTTTATGTGAAATCACATTCAGAGTTAAAAATGTATCCTACCTACTATAATCATTATGATGAACTCATTTAAAAAGCTATCTATAAACCATAATATTGATGATTCAAAAGAACTTTCTTTGAAAATGACCTGAAATCTTACCATATTTTTTTACCTAATTAAAAAAAAAAAAGTTGATGATTGTTTTTATCTCTGCCTTGAATGTGTTCACAAATAAAACATTTTGAAAAATACTTTGGTCTGAAATAATACAGCACATGCAAATGAAAGTTTCATCCCAGAAATATATTTTAAAGACATAGCTTCTAATTGTGAAATATGATACTTTGAAATACATAAAAGAACTTACGTAGATAGTCTAAGAGTAAAGAAGATGATAGAAGCGTTAATTAAAACCCTTGCAGTTAAATAGAGTGTATGCTTAGTTTCAGAGGGTGAAATACACACTATTAATCCATAGAAAACCAATTTTTCAGTGGACAAAGATATATCCTATCCCTATGAAAAGAAAATTTTTTAAATGTGCAAATATATTTCAGAAAGCATGCATCTGAATAAATCCTCATTTGGGGGTGGTAAAGAATAAAAAAACTCAAATACCCTGTTTGGATAGGCGGCACACTTCCAGTCTTCGCTCGTGAGAATGTCCATAGAGAAGGTATGCTTCTTGTAGTGCACTTTTATACCATTTCTTTTTCTTCGTACATGTTCCTAGCTAAAGAAACACAGAAAAATAATGACTCATTTCTAAATGTATAATTTTGTTTTAATATCTACTTGATTTAGCTATTGAGCTGAAATTAACCCGATTTAATAAGCATTGTAACATACATTATGTAGACTTTGGTATATAATTATTATTTCATTATTAGAGTATAGCAAAGTTGTGGGAATGTTGTACATTAAAAGACAAAGGGTTAGATTCTTGATTCACTAAGATAATATTTTAATATAATTCCTCTCACATTTAAAAAGTTACAAAAAGTTATGACCACCAATGTAACAAAGTAGTCAGTATTAATATATTTTGTTAGCATAATTTGATTCTCTTTTAAGTAACATAACAATGATACTGAAGTGGTATAAACTGAAAAGCCAAGTTTCTTATTGTAAGAAAATTACTTCCATTCACATCCAGTTTTGAGTTATGGCAGAAAAGTGACCTATTCATACAAGTTCCTTAAACTTTTGCCCCAATTTCTTCATCTCTAAAATGTGGATAACAGCATTAATCATAAAGTTTCAGAAGTATTAAATGAAATAATAGATGACAGTTTTCTGGCATAGCAAGCACTCAATCAATGTTATTCTACTTGAATTCAGTACTTTTCTACATGTAATTTATTTTTACAGAAATTTTTAAAGAGAAAAAGAGTGAAAGAATCTCTAGGTTAAAAATGACTTTAAAAATTATCTGACCCACTAATTTTTCCATTGTTATTTTAGAACTTGACTAAAAAGTTTTTTTTTTAAGATTTTATCTTTAAGTAATCTCCACACCCAACGTGGGTCTTGAATTTACAGTCTTGAGATCAAGAGTTACGTGCTCTACTGACTGAGCCAACTAAGCACCCAAGAATCTGCCTAAAAAACTTTTTATAATGTTTTTAAATGTTACAAATTATAAAATTCATACCACCATTTTCTTTTTTGGGAGTTTACCATAAAAAAAAAAGGTTTTTATTCTATTATTCCATATTTACCACTTACATATAATAATCATATCTTTATCTCAGATACATAATTTACTCCTTATACAGAAATGTAAATCTATATAACACTTATATTTAATTCATTTAGAGAATGAAACTATCCATATATTTAAAGCTCTTCTCAAACTCCACCTTATTCTTGGAGTCCCCAAATTAATATCAACTATCTGTTCCTGTTACACTTAATATTTTCATTTAATCATTCACTACATTCTGAGTTGTATTATAGTTATTTGTATTCATGACTGCCCCTACCCATAAAATGAAAAGTCCCTGAAGACAGAGGCAATAAATAATATTTCATCTTTCTATCCTCCATAGTACCCATTTGCCTAATCTCACTGCACATTATGTAAGCATTCCGAAAGTGCTTGTTAAATTGCATGTTGTTCTAGACAATTATTTATTTTATAAAAAGGAGTCAAAGAATATAATCAAACAAAAACCTACTTTTTTTTCAAAAACCTACTTTTGTGCACAAAATATTTAAATTTCATTCATTAGTTTCATAGAAAAAGAGTTAGGCAGATACAATTTAATAGACATTAGGAAATTTAAACTAAGAATATCTAACTTAGTATCTGCATGTTTAAGATATTTCTGCAGCTCTAATGTTATGGTGCTAAATAAGAAATCAGTGAAAAATAGCTTAGAAGCTGATATGGCACTAAACAATTGATGTTAAGAAAATTTCTTGAGAAAAATCAATACTATAGATAGCTAAAGTAAACTTCGGTGAGTTTGGGGAACCAAAAAGCTTTTTTAAAAACTTGTGTCTGAGATTCTTTAAGAATTTACCAGGAAGTATGTGCCATCTAGTGGTAGTACAATCAAACATCTTCAAAGAAACAAAAAATTAAGACTAATTTATAAAGAATTTTGAATTCCACAATTAGGCTCAACTATGCACTGTATTTTCCAACTAAAGTGGTGTGTACACACCCTGAAGGCTGGAATGTGCCGCCATATCCATCGCTGGTATTGTTTCTCCCAAAGGTACCCATTATTACCAGTTTCTTTCACAGTCTTTCAAAGCTACTGTATGGATCTACAAACATTTATGTTATTTGTATGAATATATCTAATTTTACAGAGTGTTGTGAACAGTTACATATACTTTGAGTTTTTCAATTTTTCTTGCAGATTGCTTCGTTTATTGATTGATTTGACATATTCTAAACCCTTGGGATCTACCACTGAAGAAGGTAGATAAAGCTTACCTTCATTCTAGCTAGTGAAACAGACAATCTACAATAAGCATAACAAATAAATAAAACCTACAGTATGTTAATAGGAGGTTACAAGTTCTATGTAATAAAGAAAAGTTAAGGCAAAAAAGTAGGGTAACTCTCATTGAAAAGGTGACATCTGCAAAGACGTGAAAGAGGACAGGGAGTTAACCACGTAGATATTCCAAAAAAGAGAACTCCAAGCAGAGAAAAAAAAAATACTCTAAGGTGGGAGGATACAAGTATATTCAAGAAGCATCGAAGAAACCAAGGTGGCTGAGGCTAAATGAAGGAGAGTAACAGGTAATGAGATCACAAAATTAACAGGGGCCAGATCATGGAGGTCCTTTCAGGCCATTGCAGGGATCTTGCCTTTTATTCTAAAATGGGACCCATTCCATAGTTCTGAGCAGAAAAATAACATTTGATTTGATTCAGTGTTTTAAAACATTATGATTTTTTATACTATTTATTTATTTATTTATTTATTTATTTATTTATT